CCCAAGCCTCTCAATTTTGATTTGCTTTGATTTGCTTTGGTTTCGATGTATGACAAGTAGTTTTTATTATTGTTGTAGTGTGTGTACATGTGTGACAGTTTACTGCGGTTCAAGCTATCCGGCTGCCGAAACCTAATAGCAGGCGTTTGTGTGTGTGTGTGAGTGATGTGAATTGATGCAATAATTTTATATAGTGATTTATTTTATTTTATTTATTTTTGTAATGTCACATAGCCATTTAAATAGCGCGCAGCACTGCATAACTTCCTAATTGGGGATGGAGGGAGAAAGGAAGGCAGGGAGGTTAGTGTGAATGATGATGAATTACATAATCTATGGAAGCTCTAAAGTGTGCGTCAAGGAGCTGAGAATTTTTTTTTTTTAATTTTTTTTTTTTGCACTATTTTTTATATAGTTATATATATATTGGAAACAGAAAAAAAAAAAAAAAATACAAAAACAAAAAGGAGGAGGTCTTTCATATATATGTAAACTTCGTTTTTTTTTTTTTTTTTTTTGTTAATTAAATTAAATATCATTAAATAGAAATCAAAATTATTATTAAATTGAATTATATTTGATTAAAAGAAAGAAAGAAAGAAAAGAAAGAAAGTGTCAATTGGGTTGTGGAATGTCAAAAAAAAATGCTATCAAAAAAAAAAAAAAAAAAAAAACAAAGCAATTTTTTTTTTTTTCTTTTTTCCCCCACAAACACACACACATTTATTAAAATCAATTGGAACAATTACCTTTTGATGAATCACCAGACTTTTAATTTATTGTTAAATTTAAATTTTATAATAAAAAAAAACCAAAAAAAAAAAAAAAAGGGGAATTTTTTTCAATTGAATAATGATTTTTAAAAGCCAATTGATTTATTAGAATCATTAAAAATCATTAAAAATCATTTAGAGTCATTAGAGTCATTGGAGTCACTAGAATCATTAAAATCATTATTAAAGATCGTTTCATCTTTTTTTCTTTCCCCCACAAATATTTGACAAACATTTGACAGCATTTAACAAATATTTAACAAACATTTAATAACTTCAACGGTTCAATGTCCCTGGAAGCGAAGACACCTCGTATTTCCATGCCAACCCAGGAAAAAAAAATAAAAAAAAAATAAATAACTTTGTTTAACATGCAGCAGCACCAGCAGCACCAGCAGCACCAGTAGTGGTAGTAGCAGCAAACAGTAGCAAACAGTAGCAAACAGTAACAAACAGTAGCAAACAGTAGCAAACAGTAGTAGTAGAAAAAAAAAAAAAAAGAAAAGACAATCGAGCAGCCATAAAAAAATAAAAAATAAAAAAATATAAAATTTAACTTTTCTTTTTTTCTTTTTTTTTTTTCTTCTTCTACACTCACACAAATTAACCAATCCATGCACCTTTCCTAAAATGGAAAGCAGCACACTTTTTATTTTATTTTATTTTTTTTTTTTTTTGGCTCCTCCCTCACCCGCTCAAAATCTAATTCTAAATCTTTTTTTTTTTTTTTTTTTTTTTTTTTTTTCCTCGACATTTAATCATGTGTGTGTGTTGTGATTCAATAATAATAATAATAATAATAAAGAATCATTTTCTTTAAACTATTAATGGTGATATAAATATTCATTCATTCAATAAATAAATAAATAAATAAAAAAAAAAAAAATTCTATATAAACTTGATAATTCCCACCTCCCCACCCCCACCTTTTTTTTTTTTTTTTTTTTTTTTTTTTTTTCTCTTTCTTCAATTGTCTTTATTCTACCCATTGAGTGCACTAGAATTTGGGACAATTAACCCCCCTTATTGTTTCGACACTCGGATTTTATATCTTTCCTTAAGTTTTTATGAATTTCCTTTCATTCTCTCAACCTTCAATTATTAGCGAGTGCGTCTCCTCCCACCGTTCAACTCTTCAACTACCTGTTGTCTGCTCCACAGACTCATCCCTAACCACTGACGACCTTTTAACTACCTTATCTTTTGATCCTTCTTCTACTTCTATTTCTATTTCTACTTCTACTTCTACTTCTACTTCTACTCCTAATTCTATCTCTACCTCTTCGACAGATGCTTTCTTTCAGTCCTCTCCTACTACTATCAATAGTACCTCCTCCTCAACTTCTACTTTTGACCAAGATCCCCTTAATAGCCTTCTTGAAAACTCTCAACACATCCCTAAAGACATGATCAACTCTTTCTCTCCAGAATATACTTGGGATGATGCTTCTTGCTCCCCTACTTTTTCTAATTTCTCTCTTCAAACTACTTCTGATGATTCAGTAGTACATTCTACGGCCGTCGCTACTACTGCTTCTGTTGTTGTTGGTGGTGCTGGTACTGTCACTTCCACTGCCACTGCCACTGGTGCTGGTGCTGGTGCTGGTGCTGCCACAGCCACAGCCACGGCCACTGCTGTTACTGCAGTTGAGAATAACTTTCTTAGTTCTCCTGCTTTACCCCTAATGGTCCATCAACCTTCCCCTGAATTAATCCAATCTCTTCAAATGGTCCCTCCTCTTTCTACCTCTGCCCCATCTCCTCCTCCAACTCAACTCTCTTCCTCGTTTTTTTACGGGAATTCTACAATTGATTTGACTTTTGGACAACCTATCCATTCTCTACCTGGTTACCCCAATATTGACTCCTCCATTTCATCTTCTATTAACAACCACAACATGACTCTTAATAATAATAATAATAATAATAATATTAATAATAATGTCCTCTTTTCTGAAGTTGTCAATACTGCTACTCCTATCCCAATTTCTCAAGGACAATTGTTTTCTACCTTTTCTGACAATTATGACGATGCTTCCACTGACGTTTCAATTTATGTCCCTCCCATAGAAGGAACCTTTTTGGACTCTCGTAAAAATGCTACTTCTTTTATCGATCCCACATGTTATATCGTGGACCAGTTAACCTTACCAAATCCTGCTTCTTTACTTGAAACTTCATCATTTGCCCCACAACAACACTTGTCATCTGCAAGTACATTATTTGCTGAAACAAGAGCAACGACTCCTATTAATGATTGTTATTCTTCTTCTTGTGCACCATCACCTTGTGCTCCCATTAATATTAACATTAATAATAATCCTATAACCCCTCAACCCCAACAAATCACTAATTTAACTCCAACTATACCTACAACAACATCTTGTCATAATAATAATAATAATAGTAATAATAATAATAATAATAATAATAATCATAATCATACCCATGGCGAGCTTGATCATAATGGAAGACCACCTCGCAAGTTCACTAAACGTCGCTACCGGTGTAACCATTGTGATGCCACCTTTTTCCACACTTGTATCGATGAATACGTGCAACATGTTTTGGATGCTGAAGCTGAGAGTAGCCGGTCTGCAGTTGGTCGTATCTATAAGTGTGATGACCCTACTTGTCCATGGGCTCATATTGGCTTCACTCGTAAGCTTGAGAAGAAGCGTCATATGGATCGCAAACACAAACCTCCTAGATATGAGTGTAGATACTGGACTCAATCTGGAACAGAGGCTTTCCCTGAAGCTGGGAGATGTGCTTCGCGCTGGCACGCGGATATTGGAAGTCGCAGAAGACATGAGACTAATGTCCATGGGCGGCCGTGGGATGATACTTGTGCTCTTAAGGCTCGTGAGAATAAGGCGAGAAATAAGCTTTAGGTTTATTTGGTTTATTTGGTTATTGATTTATTTGGTTATAAGTGTTTTTTTTTTTATGTGTGTTTAATATTTCTTTTATTGTTTATATTTTGTTTATAATCCTTTATTTTTTTTTAATTTAAATTCTGTTTCTTTTTGTTAATTGAATACTATTTTTTTTGGAATTATACAGGAAACCATAATATTAAGGTCTATCTTAGATACAATATATATATATATACATAAATGGTATTATTATATGTATATAGTGATAACAATAATCGATAAATCAAGTGGATTAATTTTTTTTTTTTTTTTTTTTTTTTGGTTGAAGTAGATTGGAGAATACACTTTGTGTCATTTTTATCACAAGCAAATTATAAAATAATAATAATAGAAATAAAAATTGAAATAAAAATTGAAATAAAAATTGAAATAAAAATTGAAATAGAAATAGAAATTGAAATAGAAATATAAATTTTAATCTTTTTTGGTTCTCTTTCATCTTACAAAATTTTATATATATATATAAAAAAAAAAAACTTGACAAAAATGGTGTCAGTAATACAGATATGTATGTAATTTTAGCATAAAAAAATATAAATATAAACCAAAAAAAAAAAAAAAATAAATAAATAAAAAAATAAAAAAATTAGGAAGAAGAAGGTTTTTTTTTAGTTTTTTTTTTAGGTTTTTTTTTTTTTTTATTTACAAACATGTTTGTACATCTGAACAAAAGTTTATATACTTATAGTGTATATGGCTGTGATATGGGCTATGATATGGCTATGATATGGCTATAATATGTCTACAATGCAAGATATTTCAGGCGACTTAATAGACATTGGAGAATAATTTAAAGGTGTGGTGAAATATTAGATTGATTTAATTTATTCTTGTAGTGGCTTGGAATATATATATATATATATAACAACAGATTGATAAATATCTATAAACCTCAATCTAAACTTCTTACTTACTCTTCCCCCCCTTTTTTTTTTCTTTTTTTAAATCCGAATCTCGCAAGTTGATCAAGTCGGCTGAACTAAAGAAAAAAAAGAAAAAATGCTTTTTTTTTTGTTTTCTAAATAATTGGTGTGGTTTTTTTTTTTTTTTTTTTTTCTATTTAATTAATTAAATAATTAAATAATAATTAAATAATTAATTGAGTTAATACGTATTTCAATTTTAAACACTAAATACCAAATAATTACCAAATAATACCAAATATTTAAATATTTAAATAATTATTATAACTATTATTATTATAATTTTTTTTTTTTTTTTCAATTGGTTAACCTCAGCTACTATATGCAAGTCTGACATTTACCGGCTCCGAATGACAGGACCAAAATAATAAAAAAATGAAAAAAAATGAAAAAAAAAAAAAACATGTCATAGAGAGAATATTTACGAGAATAAATAAATATATATATATATTTAAGATTCGTTATCTGATTAAATTTAAATTTAAAAAATAAAAAAAAGAATGGAGTATTTTAATATTTTTGATGATATTTCAGCTACTTGAAGCATTGAAATCTAAAAAAAAAAAGAAGTCAATCATAAATAAATATTTAATTTAATTTAATTTATTTATTTAATTTAATTTATTTAAATTGCTATTTCCATTTAAAGTAATATTTTACAAAAGGCTGATCACATGTTTATAACGTGACATACACGTGACAAACACGTGCATATATATATGTACTTTCTTTCTCTTTTCCCAAAAGAAAAAAATTGCTGCTGTTGCTGCTCTTCTCTGGCTGCCTGCTCGAGAAACCTTTTTTTTTTTTTTTTTTTTTTTTTTTTCTTCCCTCTCCCAAATAGAACAAAAAAAAAATAAAATAAAATAAAAAAAAAAAATTTTAATCGCCCGGAAAATTTCTCTCCAACCTACCAACCAACCAACCAACCACTCCATCCCCAAACTTTCTTTACCTACAACTACAAACTACCAACTACCCTCTCCTCCCCCACTACCACTACCACTACCATCACCACCACTAACCTTCTTCTTCTTTTTCTTTTCCTTTTACTTAACCCCTTTTTATACCTTCTCCATTAATCAAATGCGCAAATCACATGTCTTTGTCGGGTCTTCACACCCGGAGCTTGGTCAACTCATTTGTGACCGGTTGGGTGTTGAGCCAGGCAAATGTACTCTGCGTAAGTTTTCCAACGGTGAAACATCAATAGAAATCGGAGTTTCTGTACGTGATGAAGATGTTTACGTTGTGCAGTCTGGGTCTGCAGATATTAATGACCATATCATGGAGTTGCTCATTCTCATTTCTGGGTGCCGTGGCGGGTCTGCAAACAAAATTACAGCTGTCATCCCCTGTTTCCCCTATGCCAAACAATCAAAGATGAAAAAACATCGTGGTGCAATTACTGCCCGTATGCTTGCAAATCTCCTCATCATGGCTGGTGCTGACCATGTTATTACCATGGACCTTCATGCTACTCAAATGCAAGGCTTTTTCTCAAAGCCTGTTGATAACTTGCTTGCAGGTCCAACCCTCGCCCGCTGGATCCGTCACAATGTCCCAGACTACTCTGCTGCCGTCATTGTTTCAAAAAACCCAGGTGGTACTAAACGTGTCACTGCTCTTGCAGATGCTCTTAAGGTTAATTTTGCTATGATTCACACTGACCGTCGTCGTGCTCAACACAAAATCCCTGGTCGTTCCGGTGCCCGACCTCCTGTTATTTCCACTACTACTGCTGCTGCTGCTGCTCGTAAGTCACCAGCTTCTGCGCGTACCCCCTCATCTGGTCTTTCCCATGGCTTTTCTGCTTCTGATATTGCTGATGAGGAAGATGAAGCCACCGAAAATGATGGCCCTGTTAAAGTTGTGATTGATCATGCAGATGGTACTTCTTCTTCTACTACTACTACTACTACTACTACGGACCCTTCTACACCTCCTCGCATAATACCCAGCTCTAATGAGAAAAAAGACCAAGAAGAAGAAGATGAGGAGGTTTCTGATATCAATACACAATCCGTTCACGTTGCTAGAATTGTTCAGGGTCATGTTGTCAATGATGATGAGTACCCAGAGGATGAGGAGGACGAAAATGATCTCTTTGCTAAGCTCAGACGTGATGGTGCCCCTGGAACCGCTCCTGGAACCGTGGGCGAGTACGGTAGCGAAAGTATGTACTCAGAACACGCTCTGGGTGGTACAGGCGATGCCGAAAGCTCTGATGAAGAAGATGCCCACGATGATTCAGAGTATCATTTGGGTGCCTCTGCTGATGGTAATGGTAAGGCAGCTGGCCGTGTTCAAGAAAAGGTAATTACTCTTGTTGGTGATGTGCGTGGACGTACTGCTATTTTGCTTGATGATATGATTGATCGTGCTGGATCATTTGTTGCAGCTGCTGAGTTATGCTACAAGAACTGTGGTGCCAAGCGGGTGCTTGTTGTTGCAACACATGCCATTTTCTCTGGTAACTCGCTCGAGGCTTTGGATGCTTGTCCTTACATTGATCAAATTGTTGTTACAAATACTTATCCAATCCCAGCAGAAAAGCGTGCCCGCTGCAAGAAACTGGTTGTCATTGATGTTTCTACTATTCTTGCAGAATGTATCCGTAGAAACCATCACGGTGAAAGTATTTCGGCCTTGTTTGAGCAATTGCTTCAACTATAATTTTTTTTATTTTTTTGGCACAATCATACAGAAAGAGAGTTTTTTTTTTTTTTTTTTTTTAAAGAAGAAAAAGAAAAAAAAAATTAAAATTAAAATTAAAAATAATGAAAAAAAATGAAAAAAAAATGTTAACATTTGGGATAGATAATATATATAAAAAAAAAATACACAGTTTACTTGGATTCCTCCTTGACTTCCTCCTTATCTTCTTTAATGTCCTTGACTTCCTCCTTATCTTCTTTAATGTCCTTGACTTCTTCCTTATCTTCTTTAATGTCCTTGGATTCCTCATCATCACCTCCAGAGCTTCCACTTGAACTGGGCGGTGTCAACACGTCCTGGAGTTCACCCGAGTTCCAGTTTAAAGGAATAAACTTCTTAGGAAGCGACACACGAGCAAAGCGTGACTTAAACTTAGATGCAAGCAAGTCCGAGTCCAAATGACGAGTAAGTGCGACAAGTGGGATACACGAAATGCAATGTTTCGAGTCGAGTTGCACGTCAAGTGGGTTTGGCGTATTACATCCGGGTGAAATGGTAAGACGAATTGAATGCTTCTTATCTTCAGCCTCGTAAATCTCAAACCCAATCTGGGTCAGATAATCCAGCTCAGGAAGATGGTTACGTGCAACCTTGGTCGGAATCTGAGACTCATAAATCACATTGAGCAGAGTGTAAATATGCGACTCCTTAGTGAAGTAAAACACTGAGCGGCACTCACCACCAGTCTGCATCTCCTCAATCTCCTTGAGAATCTGCTGTACAAGTGGCAATGATGTCAGCAATCCAATGTCCAACTTTTCCTTGGCCTCAATACCGTACTCCTGTGGACAAATAAAGTCAAACAAAATCTTCGACAGAGTGTAAAGCTCACGCAGATACCCAAACTCAGGGCCATCAAATGCCGTAGATGTGGGGAGTGAAGCCTTGGGTGCACCCGACTCAGGTTTGTGCTGGAATACTGCAGAAACCTTAGGCATTTGAAGGGGGGCAAACGCTGTTTTGGGTGGGTCAAACTGGTCACCCATGGCAGGATCAGGTCTAAAGACATGTTCAAGGAATTGTCTATTGTGCAATCCGTCAAACTTCATAGTATCATAAAGTTCAGAAATCTTGGAAGGATCAACCTTTTCCACAGACACAAACTCTTTAAACAGCTTATCCCAGCGTTCTCGGAACAGTACAGGGTCTTCACTGCAGCACCAACGAGATTGGAACGTATCAACATCCTGATGGGCAAAATTGTAAGCCAAGATGCGTGCGTGATAGTTCATGAGTTCTACAACGCGTGACAACACAATAAATGGCTCGGGGAACTTGGGAGGCCAAGTAAACTGTGGTGGAGGCTCCAGGCCCTGACGCAACAAAGGCTTAAGTTTCTTCTTGACCTTGTCCATAAGATCTTTGGCTGCATTGGAATCATCGAGCCAATCTTTGCGAATAGATAACAAGTCTTCAGGAACGTCTTCAAGGTCAAGGTAGGCAGAAGCCCAAATTCTTGCAGAAGCAACAACACGACGTTCAGAAGATGTAAAGATCTTAACATTATTGACCAAGTCCTTGTTGAGCAAAAGTGTTTCCTGGCGCATTTGAGTACCTAGATCCAAAGCCTGGTAGCGTGCAGAGTGGGTAGGTTCACCGCCCCATTTAATAATAACTTGAACTTTCTCAACCTTATTAATTTCCTTATTAAGAACAGGCTTGAGTTGGACTTTTGTTCCAGGGAAATCCTTCTTCTTTTCCAAAGCCATTCGCAGCTGCGAAAGTTTATCTGGGTCTTCCTTGCCTTCATCCTGGGCACGTTTGGTTACCTTAAGAATGTAAGCCAAATCAGGCTTTTCACGGATAATGACCTCTTCCTTATGGCCGCGTAGAAGATTGATAAAAGTTTTCGACTTGAATGAAAACTTAAACTTTTGCTTAGGTGTACGGTCAGCATGGCGAATAACATAAATCTGGCCCTTTTGTTTCCACTTTTGTTCCTTTTCAACAACGGTGGCATCATTGGGCAAGATTTTCTTATTGCGCTCGTTGCGGTCCTTTTTGGCTTGAATAAAAAGTTGACGCAGAATGCGAGCAGCATTATTGTAATAATCCTGATTATCTTTGACAAATGAAAAGCCATTAACGTCAATCACATAGGATTTACCATTGACACGGAGCAAATCAAATCCGCAAATGGTTTGCTCAAAGGCTTCCGAAATACTGGATGCCATTTTGATTTCTTCATCGGTGAGTTTGGTGACAAATCGAATCTCCTTGCCATATGTGTTACGACGGACAACACCATCAACAACAGGCGACTTACGAGTCTCTGCATGACAAAAGTGAGGACCAACAGTATAAGCCTTGACATCTTCAAAGTTGTCAGTATCCATAAACTCCTCGTAGATAAAGGAACCCTCTGTGCGGGGGGATGTAAGGTCCGGATCGTATTCTGAAGACTTGTTACCAACCTTTCGGAAGAGTCTGCGGCCACCACCACCAGTAGAAGAATTGTAATAAACAAAGACATTGTGATCTTCGCCATCAACAGGTTTTTCAACAAAGGGTTTTTTCAAGATTTGACCGTCGGCAAATTTCAAAGTATCTTGATCAATCATTTCAAATTCCAAGGGGAGTTCTTCCTTGATCTCAACTCCGTGCTCGCGAAGCTTTTCACGAACTGCTGGCTCCACGTGGGGGCCTCCATCACGAGATACAACAATGCGGCGTGGGGTGGGGACACCAGAGGCTTCGAGGAGTCTAAGCACGAGGCGGCGATCCCATAAAATTTTTTGGAGTTCGAGATCATTGACAAGATAAGGCTTTCTGAGATTAACATAATCGATAGCCTTTTGAAGAGGGAAACCATTTGAAAAGAAGGAAATGAGAAAGTCGCATGTGGGCCAATTTTCAATTGCTAGTGGATGAAAAAAAAAAAAAAGAAAAAATTGTTAGTTAGTATGTAAACAATGATAATAATAAAAAAAAACATAATATAATAAAAAAATAAAATAAAATTTTTTTAAAGGTACCAAATACTTACATTCATCAAGAATGACTTTATCACCAAAAATCACAGTTTCAAATTCTCCATGTTCAATAAGCTTGTTAAGAATATGACGACATGGTTTTGAGCGGGCCTTTGCGTCCAAAGCACAAACACCGATTTTACCAATTTTAGGGACCTGAGTACCATTAAATTCAAATGTTTTTGAAGAAGATGAGGACACAGAACGTTGATGGGAATCAGTTCCAAGAGAAAGAGCAGAGAGAGTAGGAGAGGATGCAAAAGTGGGACCGGATGATCCGACGGAGCCTGGAGCTGGAGAAGAGCTGATAATACCTGCAAAAGACTTGTTTGCTGGGAGTGGCGAAAGGTCTCTTGGAGACACTACTGATGAAATATTTGTGATTGTGGAAGCTGAGGCAGCAGTTGAAGAAGAGATAGATGATGAGGTAGAGGAGGATGGAGCAACATCTGCAGAAGAGGCACCTGGGATGGGGACTGGATCTGGAAGATCAGATGAAGGGTTGGAAGGGGTTATAGAAGGGACTGCAACATCGTCGTCATCTGGGTCGTTTTCGTTAGAGTCTGAGTTTGCAGAAGAGTCTGAGATTTCAATGTCGTGATAGAAAGATGTTGGGGTTCCTGCGTTTGCACCTGTTGAAGAGGAGGAACTTGGGGGTTTTGATTGTCCGAGATCCTTTGAGAATTCGGAGAAAGACATGTTTTTTTTTATTTATTTATTTCAAAATTTGCGTAGAATGAGATAGATATGGAAGGAATGTTTTAAATGGAAGGAATATTTTAAATATTTTAAATGGAAGGAATGGAATGGAAAGTTTAGAATTTATATAAAAAACTAAAAAAAAAAGGCAGCAAAGAAGAAACTTTTTTAGGGCTGTGCAGGTGGGCTGCGTGGGTGCAATCAGTGGCTGCTATGCGGCTGTTGCTATTAGATCGATCGCCTCTGGTTGAAGAGAGGAGTTGACAGGCAAAAAAAAAAAGGAAGACAAGCAGACAGGCAGACAGACAGGAAGACTGACTGGCTGTGATTAAGAATTCGTAACGAAGGTAGAAAAAGGTTTATTTGCTTCGAGTAGCAAGATTGGAGAGAATTAAATAAATAAATGAAAATAAAAATAAAAAAAAAAAGAGATGGGAAATTTTTAAAGATTTTGAAAAGTCTGGAGATTTTTCAAATTGAAGGACCAAAAGGCTTTTCACAATTGGCACGGCAGACTTTTTGAAAAAAAATTTAATTTAATTTAATTTAATTTAATTTAATTAAATTAATTATTTTTTGGTGGTGGTGATAAAAATTAATTTATTTTATTTATAATTTTAATAAATTTTAATAAAAAAAAATAAAAGAAAATCACTGCACAGACTCGAACTTTGATACTAAGAAATTTTCAGAACAGTAAATATTTCAGAACAATATATAACGTACGGCTCGCTTAAAAAAAATTTTTTTTTTTTTTTTAAACCTTCTGAAATCTCAAATCACCACTTTTTTTTTTTAAGCCTTCAAACAATCCCTTGAATAAAAAAAAAAAAAACATTCCAAAAATGCCAACAGCTGCTGTCGCTGCCACTGCATCCACTGCAGACCAACCGTCGCAGCCTAAAAAAACTAAAATCTCCGGAGAATTTACACCCTCCCAACCTCAACAACCAAAAAAACCATCCCGTCCTTCAAAAATCTTTGCACCCTTCCGCTCTGTCGGGAACGTCACAGATGCTACCCCCCTCGCTGTCACCTCACTCGGCCAAACTTTCGTAGTCACTACCTCGGTCGGTAACTTCTTTCAGATTTATGATGCAACTTCTCTCCACCTTCTCTTTGTTTCATCTCCACGTACTCCAGACCCAATCACTGCCCTCTGCTCCCATTTCCATTACGTCTTTGCAGCTTGGGGTGCTTCCATTGGTATCTTCAAGCGCGGTAAACTCCAAGCTACTCTCTCACTTGATCCCTCCATTGCAACAACAGACGGCCCAATTTCTTCTCTTGTCCTCTTTGGTGAACATCTATGTGCTGTCACTGAAACTGCCATCTCTGTCTTCAAAGTAAACCCTAAAACCCCCTCCGAAGACCCAGAACTTTACACAATCATCCATATCCCCAAATCCTTTGGCAAAATCAAACAAGTCATTCACCCACACACTTACCTTAACAAAGTGGCCGTCATCGTCGACTCCGCAATTCTTCTTTACAATGTCCGCACAGGCCGCCTTCTCTTCTCTTCAGACCCTACCCCTTCCCCAATCACTGTCGTTGAACCTTCCCCAGTCCTTGACGTGGTTGGTGTTGGTACCGCATCTGGTGATATCCATATTTACCACCTCAAACAAGGCCGCGTTCTTTTCTCTTTAAATGCTGCGGCTAGAATCACCTCAATGTCTTTCCGCACAGATGGTACCCCCATTCTTGGTGTTGGCACTGCTGCCGGTGACCTGCTCTTCTACCACCTCGATTCCAAAAAACGTATCCACATTTTGAGAGGTGCCCACAAGGAAGAAAATGGCGGTGTTGCTCGTATCCATTTCTTCAACGGACAACCCATCTTTATCACAAACGGTGGTGACAATAAACTTGCAGAGTATGTCTTTGATCCCTCGGTAATTACAGGAACTGAAACAACTGGTGTTGCTGCTATCTCTGCCCCAAGACTTTTACGTTCCCGTGGTGGTCACTCTCTTCCTCCCTCTTTCATCTCATTCACAGATGAAGAGGCCCACTTTATTCTCTCTGGTTCCCGTGACCAGTCTCTTTGGAGTTTCTCTCTCCGCAAAGATGCTCAGTCTTACGAGTTTTCCCAAAAGGAAAAGCGCACCATCAATGGCGGACCTGCCCGTGGTGGTATTCTTGGTTCTATGCAAAATAAATTCCCTGAAATCACCGGACTTGCTTACCAGAAAAATAAACAAGGTCGCTGGGACAATATCCTTACTGCCCATAATGGCCTTTCCTTTGCTCACACATGGGACGGCAAGCGTGGCATTGTGGGACCATATCATCTCCCAACCACTGATGGAGGCATTGTTAAAACAGTTTACATCTCTTCCTGTGGTAACTTTGGCATTGTCGGTTCCTCTCTCGGAGGTGTTGGTGTTTACAACATGCAAAGTGGTATTCTGCGTAAACAATACACCGGTCATACCCAATCAGTCACAGGCACTGCTCTGGACTCTTTAAATACTACCCTTATAACATCTGGTCTTGACGGCCAAGTTCGTTTCTACGATTTCCACAAAAAGACAAACACTGGGCAAACAAATATTGTCCACAAACTTCAACTCCCAGCCCCAGTCACCTCGCTTCTTCTTCACGAAGGCTCAGACCTACTGGCCGTTTCTCTCGACAACCTCTCTCTAGTCGTCATTGACATCCGCACCCGCCGTATTGTGCGTGAGCTTTGGGGCCACAATAACCGCATCACCTCGTTTGACTTTTCTCCCGACGGCCGCTGGATCATCTCCGCATCTCTCGATGGCACAATCCGTACATGGGATCTTCCCACTGGTGGCTGCATCGATGTCGTCAAGGTCGACAATGTCGTGACATGCCTACGTATGTCTCCCAATGGAGACTGGCTTGCCACAGCCCATGTTCGTGGCGTTGGTGTGTCGCTTTGGACTAACCGTGCCCAGTTCCGCAACATTTCTGCTAAAATCATCACCGAAGAAGACGAAAGAGAACACGGTATTGCCACCATTGACATGCCTAACGCGGCTGGCGAAGGTGGCTCTAACATCATTGATGGAGCCCTGGAAAGTGAACCCGAAGATGAGGAAGACTCATCTCAGTATACTACAGTGGACCAGCTTAGTAAAGATCTCATCACTCTTAGTTTGCTCCCCCGCAGTAAGTTCAACACCCTGACCCACCTTGACGCAATCAAGAAGCGTAACAAGTCCAAGGCTCCACCCAAAAAGCCCGAAAACCTGCCTTTCTTTTTGGGAATGACCAAGGAAGGCAAGTCTGAGGCTTCCCGTATTGGTCCTTCAAGTGCATCTGACAAGTCAACCATTTCTGGTTCTGTTGATGCCACCGGTGCTTCTACTAAGTCTTCTACAAATGAAGGTGCACTTTCTCTCCGCGCGGGCGAGAAAATTGAGTTTGAATCGCAGTTCACTCGCTTGCTCAAGGACTCAGCAAACACAGCGGCATTTATTGCATATCTCAAATCACTTTCTCCAGCCGCTACTGACCTGGAATTGCGGGCACTTAAGACTTATGCTCCTCTGACCGAAGTCGTGGCTTTTATCCGTGCCCTGACTGCTACTCTTGAACGTCATACTGACTATGAGCTTGTCCAGGCTTGGATGACCATGCTGCTACGAATCCACGGTGATATCATTCTTGCACATGCCACTAAGAAGACTAAAAAGACCAAGAAGTCAATCAAGAAGCAGGAAGAGAGCGGTGAAGAGGACGACGATGATGATGACGATGACGAAGATGACGATGGACTTTTGATCAAACGCAATGTCAATGATGACAGCGATGAGGAAGAAGATGATGATGACAATGAGTGGACTGTGTACTTGCCTGAACTTGTGAGCGCCCTGAGTGCTTGGGAGGAAGTTCAACTTTCCGAAAGCAATCGTTTAGGAGAGCTTACACAGTACTGCTCTGGTGTCATTGACTTTTTGAAGATTGCTTAGATAGAATATTAATATAGTGAAAAATAAAATAATAAAATAATAAAATAAAATAATAAAATAATTAAATAATTAAATGGTTCATTAATATTTTCCTAGATTTTGATTACAAATGCAGAATATCTTGTACCTTGAAATATTCAACTCCACGACCTCTTTGACATACAGGGACTTAATAAGACGTTAGATGATGAACTCTGCGTGTGGCTGGTGTTGCAAAATCTCGCTGACTAATGCGATTTTTTTTTTTTTTCTGCTTCTTGAAAATTTCCAAATTTTTTTTTTTTTTTTCCTTCCTTCCTTCCTTCCCTCCACCCAAAAACCAACCATTTAAAAATCCGCACAATCCCTTCGAAGACCTATCTTCACCATCACATTCAAATGTTTCGTGCCACTTCTTCGATATTGCGCAGCACAGCTGCTCGTTCAGTTTCTCGCCGTTGCTTGAGCCCCTCTACCATCATGGCTTATAGCACTCGTGCCACTTCCTCTGCCTCTTCTGCTTCCTCTACACGCCTGTGGCTCGGAGCCACCGTTGCTCTTGTCGGAGCCGGGGCTGTTGCCACACAACTCACCTCGTCACCTGTTCTCCTTGACTCCAAGCCCGAAAGTTCTTCTTCCACAGAAAAACCCACCGTTTCTGAGGCTCTGCTGACTGCTGCCGACACTGTCACCTCCAGCAAGGACACCCTTTTGTCTACCGCCGTCGACGCTGCCGTCGATGCTGCTGATGCCGTTGCTGCCCAAGCTGGCATCGAAGACGCCGTCGTGGCTGCCGTTCAAGGCGTCGATAGTGCTGTTCAGGCCCTGAGCGAGGACCTTGCCCAAGAGCTTGAAGAGCTTTCTGAGGAGTACAAAAAGGAGGCCGAAGAGCTTGTTGCTGAGGCCGCCGGTGCTGCTGCTGGTGCCGAAGCTGCTGAGCCTGAAGAGGCCGCTGTCCCCAACAAGGGTGCCTTCGATCCTGATACCGGTGAGATTAACTGGGACTGCCCCTGTCTTGGTGGTATGGCACACGGCCCCTGTGGCGAGGAGTTCAAGACTGCTTTCTCGTGCTTTGTCTATTCAGAGGCCGAGCCCAAGGGTGTTGACTGTATTGAAAAGTTCTCTGCTATGCAAAACTGTTTCCGTGAGCACCCAGAGGTTTACGCAGAGGAACTCCGTGAGACTGAGCCTTTCCCTGAAGAGACTGCCCAGGCTCCTGTTGAGGAGGTTGAGGCTGTTATCGTTGAGGCTCTTCCCGTTGAACCTGTTGCTCTTGAGATTATCGAAGAGGTTATTCCTGTTGAAGCTTCTTCTAAGAGCAACTAAAAAAAAAAAACCTCTCCCTTTGTTTGATTTCTCTAACTGTATATTAAAATTCTGTTTAATTTGCCTTTTCTCTTTTCTTTTTGAAATTGAAGGTGATTTTGTTCTGTATATAATAAAGAATACTACTTTTTCATTAGAATCCTATTTTTTTTTTTAACATGCCTGATGGGAGTTCAATTTTACAATTTTTCTTTTTGACACAAAATTCTGGGGAAAACATGTGACAAATCCTTGAAATTCATTTGGTATTAAATGAAATACCTATCTAGGAAATTTAAGCATACAATGACATAAAAAAAAAATTCACTCACAATAAGCTTTGCAAAAGTATGAATTTTAATTCACAGTTGCTTGAAAAAAAAAAAAAAAAAAAAAAACCTTCACCCCGCTTTAATTCCAGGTTAGGGTTTATTTAGCAAGAAGTTTAATTGAATTAATTTGAAATGAATAATCTGAAGAGAGTTTGAATCGAGATAAAAAAAAAATCAATTAAATATAATCCATTTATAGTAATTAGTATAAATTATAATGAATACATTACACTGCATTGCTGAACTTTGGGTGACAGAAATTTAATTCTGTTTTTTTAATAATAAGTATGACATAGCCAAGCAAAGAAATACTTTCATATTTGCAGATTGTTAGTTACGATTTGGCATTAAAATACCAATTGTAAGGGTTCTTTTGTACGTTATGACAATTATAACTTGTTCTTTATTTCAATATTTACCCATTTTCAAAATAAAACTTTTCTAATTCTTCATTTAAATTTAGGATGTTATTTTTTTAATCATTAAAACCGTTTCTCATTATATGTTTTCTTTTCATTACAAAAAAATGTTTAATTTTCTTCCAGAAATTGCTTCATGGGGAGACCAACGTGCTCAACGTCAAGTAAAAAGGTATCATGGCCAAATAAACTAATTTCTTGACCCAATTCCAAATACTCAATGTTAGAACCATCACCACCAAGTGATCGGGAAGCATCCCGTAACACTTCGGCAATCTCCTGCTGTTGCCAGCTGGGGAAAAGAATATCACTGTCAACACCAAGCACAAAAACCTTGTGTTTACCTAAGGGCCGCAGACCCTCAACAAGATCGCTCTTCGAAAGATCTGTAACCTTATTGCGGGGCTGCTCCTTGTAAGGCTTATCTGGCAGAGTACATTGGGGAATTTGTTTATCTGTGCTTGTTACTCCTGTAGCAAGACTTTCTTCTTCAAATCGTTGCATAGCTTCTAATTTATTCTTAAGCGCGCGTTCGCGATTTGTCGCACCCATGTCAAAGAGATCCATGGCTTTAGAGACATATAATAAAGAGTTGGCATCGTATTCTAAGCAAAACTTTTCTCCCTGATGATCCAGATAGGTTTCAATCAAAAAATCTGGGCAAAGAGCAGGCGACTTGTTGGGGTCAGCACGGTCACGGCCAAACCGCATTTCCCATTCTGGACCCGAACGATATGTAATGGTTGCAATTTCTCTTGCAAGCTTCATGCCAACATGAGGTGGTACAGAGTCGTAGTAAAACCCTCGCTTCCAGTTAGGGTCTGCCATAAGAACTTGACGCTGGGTATGACGCATTGCAATAGAATAAGGATGAGAGCGGGCACAGCCCGAAATGGAAACGACGCGGTCAACGGCGTCAGGGAATTGTGTAGTATATGCAAGAGATTGCATTCCGCCCATTGAAGCACCGACGGATGCATAAAGTTTGTTAATGCCAAAGTGGACCTCAATCAGTCTATTTTGTGCTCGCACCATGTCATTAATTGTGACAATGGGGAAACGAGTAGCATATCTTTCACCATCAGCAGGGTCAAAACTTGAAGGACCGGTAGAGCCATAGCAGCCACCAACCACATTTGTGCAAATGACAAAATATTTGTTGGTATCTATGCTGAGGCCTGGACCAATGAACTTTTCCCACCATCCAGGTTTTGTATTTTTAGAGTGAGATTTTGCGTGAGAAGATGCCGAAAGACCAGTATGAATAAGAATAGCGTTTGTACGTGTATCGTTAAGAGTACCCCATGTTTCATAAGCAAGATCAAACGATCTTAGAATTCCGCCATTGTCGAGGAAAAGAGGTTCTGATGAATGAAAGGTTTGGTATCCCGTGGAAACGTTAGAGTATGAGGGTTCAGGACCGGACTCATATGAGGAAGATTGGAGAGATTGCGTGCGCTTTTCCATACGGTCAAGACATGGAAAGGCCATTTGAGGGTTAGATGCTGGTGTATTTGTGCGAGAGATTGTAGCCAGACCACGAGGCCGTGAACTATTGGCTGTTGTTTGAGTTGAAGATGTGGCTTGCGAAGTAGTAGCAGGTGGTGTAGAATGTCTCTTTGGCGCGGAGTAAAACCGTGCCATTGTTGGTTTTGATAGAGCGAGTAACGACTTTCGCGAGAGTCTTTGGATATTGGCCGGTTTCATTGTGAGGACTATTGTTGATTGTTGTATAAAGAGAAATATAGGAATATGGAACTTCTGGGAAAGCAATAAAAAATAATAGCAATATTGTAAGAAGAAAAAAAAAACTTTCTGGGAGATTCCTGGTATTTAACAAAGTATTTGCACCATTTTTTTTTGCCTTACAAATGCATTTTTTTTTTTTTGGTCTCGCGCAATGAAAATTTTTTGGCAAATTCCAGTTCAAAATCATCTAATTTCACGTGACTCCCCCACAAGCCACACGCCACACGCCACGCCTGTCCCAAAACAGAAACCCGCGATATTCCAATGTTGGTGGCTGATGGAACGGCGGTTAAGTGTTTAGTGTAGGAAAAAAAAAAAAAAAAAAAAAAAAAAAAAAAAAAAATTTAAACAAAAAAAAATCGGCAAATCGAAATCACTTGCCTGGCTCAGTTTTGATTGTAGTAGAATCAGCGGGAGGGTTAGTTTCTTTAGCCATCTTTTCAATATCGCCTTCTGGATTGGTGGTCTTTTTAAGCCACCGCATATAAAAGTCGTCCATAAACATCGTCGAAACGTCTTCACGCGCAATATCTTTACGAAATCGAGGCTCCTTTAACAAAGAAAGAACAAATAAACAATTAGGGTACCTTGATAATGTTAAAATCTCAAAAACTTTACAAAAGAATTTAAATAAATACTTACACAATATACTTTGCGTACTTTGGTTCACGCCAGTATTCCAAATATTCAAGAAAATTTAAGAACTCCTCACTTTCAAGATACTTGTTCTGAGCAAGATAATTAAGATAATGTGGATTAGCAAGACTTTGTACAAACTTATTGATTGATTAATTGATTAATTTATATGATTAGTCCATTGTTTAAAAGATAATAAACATATTCTTACCTCGAGCTCAACTTCCCATCGATTTGGAAGATCCACGGCTGGCTGCTGAACTTGTACTTGTTTTCCCTGTGAATCACTCATATTATTATTCTTTCTAGTGTAATTTTTATTTGGTTTTTGGATTCTCAATAGCAGTTTTTTTTATGCTTCTTATCTGTTGTGAATCTACAATACATATTATGATGATGCTAAAAGACTTTTTAGATGGTGGTAGGCCAAGCAATCTGTCAAAAAAAAAAAAAAAAAATTATAACCCTAACCCAATGAATATTTATTTTTATTCACTTCATCATAACGCGTGTCAGACTCATTCTATTCTTCACCAAACAACAGCATGTCTTCGTCTTCAGATGAGGACTTTTCCGAAGACGAGCTCCGTGCGGGCTGGAATGGTGCTAGAGCTCCTGTGAGGAAAAAAACTAAAGATGAGCTTAACGATGAACGCATTTATGGCGTTTTCAACGAAGACAACAACCGCAATAGCAAAACCAGTTCATATGGCGATCTAAGATACTCATCAGTGCTCTTTACACAGTCATCACCAAATGAAGAGAAAAAGGCACCAGTATTTACAAAATCGTCTGATTCTGAAGACACCAAGCCTGTATCAAAACAGTTCATGGCATTTGCCCCGGCTTCTAAACCTGAAGACAGTAAACCATCACAACCAAACAAGTACATGATGTTTTCTAAAGCTTCTGATTCCACTCAGACATCAAAATCAGATTCTAATACCATGCAAGGTTCACAGTTGGGTATGAGATCTGCCTTTTCCAATCCATTATTTGAGCTCACACTTCCACAGAACCCGCCACTACCAGAAGAACCTATACCAAGTAACCCAGTAAAAAAACCGCCACAGCTACCAACATCCAAGAATGAAAAAACTTATGGCATTGGTGCTAAACTCTTGGAGAAGATGGGCTATGTCAAAGGACAAGGTCTTGGAAAAGACGGTGGGGGTATTCTTAGACCTGTTGAGCACAAGTTACGTCCACAAGGTCTTGGTCTTGGTGGTATTAAAGAACGCACTAAACAATCAATTGAAGAGGCGAAAAGACGTGGAGAAAAGATTGCAGATGATTATGAAGTTTCTGATGATGAGAACAAGAAAAAACAAGGTAAATCGAAAAAATCTCTAAAACCCCCAATGTCAGCTGCTGAGCGCACGCGTCGACGTGCTAAAACCCTTTACAAAACAGTTCATGAAATGGAATCCGAAGGATTGCATATACCCAGTGGGTTTAAACAGATTGTGGACATGACGCAAAGTCGCAGCGAGCAAAAAGCTGGAGAGGAAGGGGAAGAAGAAGAAGAAGAGGAAGCCATTACAGCCGAAGAGTCTGCTCTGATTGATCAAGTCAATAATGAGATGGAAAAATATGGCACAGAATGGCGGTCTCTGCAAACACGTAAAACATATGCCAAGTTTGAGATTGACCGGCTTGAAGATAAGGTTAACTTGTTGACAGATGAAATCTCTAAGATGGAGGAGTTTTTGGCAAAATGCAGTACCTTTCATAATATCTCAGAAAACGATGATCCTGTTGAAGCACTCAACAACCTGACACAGACTTTGATCACAATTCAGTACCAATTTTTTAAACATGCGCACCATTTTAATCTAGATGAACTGGCAGTAGCCACACTTGCACCTCTACTAGAAGAAGCCTTCAAAACTTGGGATCCACTTCATTTGCCAACTCAGTTTATTGAAACTTTCTTACAGTTGAAACCTTTATTTTATCGAGATAAGAAGGTAGACGAAGAAGAAGATACCCTTTTAAATCAGGAGGACGATTATGAAGAAGAATGGGAAAAAAAGACAGCTTCTGAAAACCCCAGACAACTCTACGAGCGATTACTTTACAATACATGGGTGCCTAAGATCCGACACGTTCTACAAGACGAGTGGTTGCCAGATCATTCTTCTACTGCTATTTTGATGCTAGAAGAATGGTCTGTTGTTGTTCCTGAAGAAATCCAAGCTCAGGTCCGTAAATCCGTGGTGGTTCCGCGTCTTGTGCATTCAATTAAACGATGGCGACCCTCATCTTACTCCAGTAACTCGTTAAAAGGCAACAGGAAAACTGGATTGCCACCACCTCCCCATATTTGGGTGTTCCCCTGGATACCGTACTTGGATGCAGCCAGCGTCGAAGAGATTTCTCGCGAAGTCAAAGAGCGGTATATGCGACTTATGCGCGACTGGCGTCCTACAGATGCGGCACCGTTAGATGGTCTTGCAGAATGGCGTGAAATAATGAGCAAAGCAGAGTTTGCAGAACTGGTACAGGACAGCGTGATTCCTCGGTTAGGGAAAGTGTTACGCAGCTACGTTAAGCTTAAAAGTGCAAGTAAATCATCGGTGACAGCGTTGGAAGCCATATGTGCATGGTGTCCAACTGTTGTTAGAGCTCCTGTGTTTAGTGACCTTTTTTGTGCACATTTCCTGACTGCTTTTGAAACATATTTGTACGATTGGATCATGGATACAGTGCAACTGGCGGCTGAGAAGAAGACTAGTGATGAAAAACAACAACAGGATGCCGATAAACAAGAGATGGGGGCGATATTGGACTGGTATGAAGCTTGGTATAAGGCTATTCCGCGTCACATAGCGGAATTAGATGCTGTTGAGCGCGAGCTCCATGCAAGTATAGATATGATTGAGGATGCTGTTGACTTAAAGCCTGCCCTACGCCAGACCCGACTATCTGTGCCGGGACTTGTTGCAGGGCCCAAGACAACGACCAATACAGCGCGTGCAGAACAGTTTCTGGCTGACCTTGACGCACAGCTTAAAAGCACTGAGCTTAAGGATGATGCTGCAAAGAGCGAGCGGGCCAAAAAGAAGAAGAAGATTCCAATTAGTCTTCCTGAGTCTCGGGATAGCCCAGCAGCACAAGATTTGGCAAGCACCTCGTTTAAAGATGTGGTTGAAGATGCCTGTGCAGCAGCAGACTTGTTTCTTACAGCAGCACATGGGGCACATCCAGTATTGGGACATCCATTATACCGAGTCTCCGCGAGTCCCATAGGGACGTCTGGGATGCCAGTTTACATGAATGATAATGTGTTGTGGGTCAAGGCGAGCCGCGGGTCAAAAGAGTATGATCCAATATCGCTGGACGATCTGGCCAAGTCATATAAACAATACACCAAGAGCAAGTAATAAATGAAAAGAATATTTACTTTTTAATATTATTATATACAACAAAAAGAAACCAAAAAAAAAATAGAATGGTCAGAGAGTTTACTTTCGCGAGGAACCAGTAGCAGCAAGGAACTTCTGGGCCTTCTTTTCCATGCGGGCATACTTGATCTTGGCCATTCTCTCCTTCTTGGAGTCTCTGATAGAAAGAGTGTTGGGGCCGAAGAACTGGTACTTTTCAAAGTATCTGCCGCTCAAGTTGAATTCGTTGGTGATGGCAGCATCGTTGAGGCCAAGCTTCTCAATGGCCCAGTAGTAGCGCTTGGGGTGAGCTCTGCGGAGATACTTGAGGATGCCTTGGCGGTCGGAAATGAGCTGTTGGAGAGTACGCTTGGAGCGGAGATCCTTCTTATTTTCCTTAAGATGTGTGACAAGGAAATGGATCTTAATGGTGGCTACTGCAGCCTGAACTTCGGAAGAACCAGTGTCGCCTTCAAAACGAGAAAACTCCTTGACAGCAAAGTCGACAGCAAACTTCTTACGAGAGTCTAATGACGAGTTTTGCATAGAGACAATACGCAGAATAGCCTCACGCTTGGCAGCATCTTCCTTGGTCTTGATGGCAAGACCAGAAAAGGCCGATGAGCCAGCAGCTGAGCCAGAGACTTGCAAGCTAGCGTCGGCCAAGTCAGAGCTCACGCCAAAAGAAGAAGAGCCAGCGCCTGAGATGGGTCCCTGGGAAGTGGAGATAGTAGATGAAGTAGCAGTGCGGATGGTGCTAGCGTACTCTGCACCAAAAACAATTTTTTCAGCCTCGGTGGTAGTAAGACCAAAAGCAAGGTTATCGGACTCAACAAGAGCAGCCTTCATGCGTTCAATAAAGGGGACGTTGGAACGACCCAGGACGGGGTCGACATCCTCGGGCTTAGGCTTTTGAAGCTGGCGAGCAAAATGCTTCTGGACACGACGCAAAGACTTGACGTACCGACTGACCTTGGCGTTGGCAGCAGCCGATGTGTGGAAAGAGGAAGAAGATGATGAGGTAGTGGTGGTGGTGGTGGTGGTGGTAGTTGCAGCGATGCGAAGACCGGAGAGCTGTGCCGAAAGAGAGGTTATTAATGGCGAAGAACGCTGGGCCATAGTACGGCCAGCAGATGATGCCAGCAAAGACGAGCGAAGCATATTGTGAAGAATTGAGAGAGAGATGCTGAGGATGTCTAGCTGGACGGAGTGAGTGAGATCACAGGACAGGGAAGAAAGAGGGTGTGTCGTGTGGATGTGAAAATCCAGGCGGTGATTGGATTGGGCGGGCATTTTTTTTTGGCGGTGGAAAAAAAAAAAAAAAATCATGAAAGAAAAAATTTCAACATCATGTGATATGGTTCGTGAACCTAAATATGTTTTCAGTATTTTTTAAAATATATTAAATACAACAAAATAAAAACCTCGGCTGGTTGCCTTTGCATGGTTGTCACCTTTAAATGTGGGGATTTTGGATCGCCCAAACTTATATAAATACTTGTCCGTCAGCACCACCAACCGTTCTTTATATTTCTTCTTCAACTACTTTTTCTTTTTCTTTTTCTTTTTCTTTTTTTTTTTTTTCCTTTTTCATACTTCTTAATCAGCATAATTGCTATCATTCAATATATAGATCTACCAATGACTAAATCAGATACTCCATCATATACTGAAAAAATCATCAATATCCCGTTCAGGCACATATATGCCATGGACAATGAACACGAGGCCCCGTCTCTTGGTGACAACTTACCTGCAGCCGGGATCGAGGGCACTCTTGTGATCCCCGCACAGCATACATTACACACTCTCAACACGGACTTTACTGCGGTAAAGCCCCAGCGTCGGGTTGTTGTACTAGCACACGGCCAATCCGGACATCGCAACTATGTGTATCAGAAACTGTTGGCACGAGCATTGGCAGAACGTAATGGGCTGTACACGTTCCGGTTTGATTTCCGCAACTGCGGTAACTCGCAACATGTCGACTCTCCCAATGGACTCACAACATATGCAGAACATCAGGACTTGACGGTTGTGTGGGATTATCTTATCAACAAGCTAGGGTTGGTTCCTGCAGCACTTGTGGGGCACTCAAGAGGTGCTCAAGCATGCTTAAATTGGGTTTTGAGTCAACAAGCACTGCCAGATGGTGGAGTGTACATTCCTACGGTAGTCAATTGTTCAGGTCGGTACCGTACTGAAATGATTTTTGAATGGTACAAAAAAAACATGCCGGAGTTTTGGGGAGCTGAGAAGTACTTCAAGGTCTCTAATGCTCGACGGAGCAAACAGGGAGGGGTAGAAAAGGAGGAAACTCCATACATGGCTCGACACGAAGCCATTACAATTGCCGGGTACGACATGACACAAATCAAGTACTTGAGGCGCGACACTTATGTATTGACGATCCACGGTGATAACGATGATATTATTCCCTGTGAAGACGCATACTTGTTTGCCGATGCTTTGGCTGGACACCACGAGCTTCACATTTTGTCTGGGGCAAACCATAATTACGTGGTGAGCACGACAAGTGTGGTTGGCGATGAGGAGGTTGGGTCCAGACGCTCATTGGTCCCTGAAGTGGTGGATTTGATTGTGGACCGTCTTACCATTGAGAAGGAAAATGAAAGGTTTCATAAACAGGAAGCAACATTGGGATCTACAGCATTGGGGGAAACACCAGTGGCTCGCTGGAAAACTGTGGAGGGCGTACTAAATTTCCGCGATTTTGGCGGGTTCCCCGTGCGTGAAAAACATGGGCTTGTGCGCCGGTGGGTACGTCCGGGGATTTTGTATCGGTGTGGGTCACTAGATGGTGTTACAGAAGCTGGAAGAGAACAAGTGAAAAAACTAGGGATACAGCAAGTATTTGATTTCCGGTCTGAAACCGAGTTACGGCCCAAGAATGAAAACACTCGGGATGGGTTGTTTGATGGTCCTCCTGGTGTGATAACTACGCATGAACCACTGTTTTCCAAGGTTGAGTATAGTCCGGAGGCTCTTGCACGGAGGTTTGCAGCTTATGCAGCGAATGGGTTCAGCAAGACGTACCGAGAGATTTTGGATGCCGGTGCACGGACTGGAGCATTTAAGCGAGCATTTGAATGGGTGCGGGCCAATCCCGGGTCTCCATTTTTATTTCATTGCAGTGCTGGGAAGGATCGGACAGGAGTATTTGCGATGCTTGTTTTATTGTTATTAGGAGTTGAACGGGACACGATTGCTCATGAATATGAATTGACGACTGTGGGGTATGCGCCAGAACGGGAACGGCTTTTGAAGATGGCACGAGATGGAGAGTTTGCCAAACATGTGAAGGAACATCCACAATTTAAGGAGATGACGATTCGTGGGTGGGAGCATTTGACAAGTAGTAGGTTTGATACGATGATTGAGACGCTAGATTGGTTTGAAAAGAAGTATGGAGGGGTGAGACATTATTTGGTCAACATTGTAGGGTTGGCTGTAGAGGATTTGGATGCTATTCGTGAGAGTTTATTGTATGATGGAGATCCAGTAGAGGTTCGTCGGACGTTTTATCCAAAATTGTAAAAGTTAATATAGTTAGAATTTTGAATTAATTAATTAATTAATTACCATTAGACATTTTTCCTTTTTATTTTAAATTAAACAATAATTCCCATAATTGAAAAAGATACCTATCTAAAAAATAAAAAAAAAATATAAATAAAAAAGAAAAAAGAAAAAAAAAGAAAGAAAAAAAGCGGAACAAAATTAGCCCTTTTTTTATTATTATTATTATTATTATTATTTTTTGGGTGGAAGGAGAGGTGGTGGTAGTAGTAGTGAAGCAATGAAACTGAGGTTTGAGTATGGAATTGAAAAAAAAAAAAAAAAAAAAAATGCATTATAATTATAATAATTATTATTACGCAAACTAACAATTAACAACTTGAGCTTCATTTAATTTTATCCTTAAAAAAAAATTGAAATATATTTAAATAAAAATTTAATTTAATTTAATTTAAAAAATAAAATAAAATAAAAATAAAAAAAAAGAGGAATTAGATATAATCAGTTGTACTATATAGTAGCTATATATATAAAAGTTATTCAAGTTGAGGTCAGACTCAAGTTGAGGTTTTTTTGTTAGTTTTTATTGGAAAGCATTTACTTATATGATTGGTTTAAAATTTGAGGGAGAGAGAGGGGGGGCGAGTGGAAAGTGATATTGTTGTTAATGATGATGTAAGATTTATATTATTATAATAATAATTATTATAATATAATTATAATAGTATTGGATTTGTTATTCACTGAAAAAAAAAAAAAAAAAAAAAATGTTGGGGGTGGGTTTAACCAGAAAAAAAAAGAAAAGAAAAGATGCAATCGTTTCTTTCCCAATATTGAATTTAAGACTTGAAAATTAAAAAATTAAAAAAATACAACTTTTTAAAACAACCACAATACTTTTTTTATATTTTTTTAAATATGAGAACCGCTATTTATATAAAACTATAGAACAAAATTTTTTCTTCACTTCCTAGAAAGTGAATTTTTTTTTTCTTTTCATTCTTTCTTTATGTTTTAATAATAATAATAATAATAATAATAATAATGTCATCACCCCATAAATATATATATTTCATTTTTGTATTTATGCAGCACGGCCAGAAACACCAGTGCTAGAAATAACTCTGGAAGCCTGAAGGCCGGCTCTAACAATCTTATCACCAGTAGAATCAGAAACAAGGTT